TTTATCCTGACTCATGATTTCAGAGAATGATTTAGTATTAATAATAATTAATTAATATTAATTGATATTATTTCCAAAACATATATTCATATCAGTCAGTACAAAAGAAATGTAGTTAGTGAAGTTACTGGCAGATTTTATTTATTTGAACCCTATAAACTAATAACAGGATGGTAAACAAACACAAAAACAAATTTTCAGGCTACTACATGTTATGTGTTGGTTGTTATAGACCTACTTTCATAACCAGAGGACTCAGCATCATACTGGCTTGTGTTTGCCCAGTCAGGAAGTATGGGTAACAATTCCTCATCATTACTAGGCATTGGAGTGAGACCAAAATCTGGGTTGAACAGATTACCATCATGGGAGAGTATGTGATTGATCAGGACTTGGGATTCCTGAAATTAAGTTGCAAATAACTAACAAATTTAACCACAGGTAAAAATAACCTTATTTAAAAATGATAGCAATGCTGATTCATAGAATTGCTGTAGGCTATATAACGATTTAAAGCTTCAGCCCTCCTCACTGCCCCCACTCCAACCAGGTAAGCCACAGGAAGGGATGGAAATTTTGAACCTTGCTTAGGTGGGGTGGGGATTTTGAGCCGGTTTTTGAAGTGGAATACAAATGTTTTATCTTTTAATATAGAAGTGTTTCAAGGTAAAAAGAGTTCACTTTCACGAGCAAGTGGCTCAGGGAAAAAGGTCTACCAGGTTTAGATTTTAAATTTGATTACTGGTCGATAACTGAGAAAGCCAGAGTTGTGGTTCAGCCTTTTACAAAAAAATGTGGTGACCTTCAAGCTCCAAATTGATCAACAGGTTATATGTCATTATAAACAACCGAAAGATCATATGCAGGTTACCATTAACATTGCAGTTTTCCTATGCCTACCTCAATCATCTACAAACAGGCCTTTTTTAATATTAATAGCTTCAAAACTTTTAGGAGGGAAATCAAGTTAAGACCCTACAGAAATTTGTAATGCTATGTAACACCTTGAATTCAATTAAGAGTGAAACCAAGGCGAAAAAAAATAAGCAAGCAAACAAATGGGCTTGTTGTTAGCTCATTCATCAATGAAGCTATTGACAGGGATTAAGCAAGACACTTAAGTGCATGATTTTGTTTGTTTTTTTCTTGGATTTTGCATCATTTTTGAAATTAGAAAGAAAAGGATTATTGTCCAGTCAACCTTTATAACCAAATAAATTGCAATTGAAACACAGAACAAGTTAGTCTCAATTCTTTAACTCCCAGATCAAATTTGTAATTCTCTTACTATCAGCTATACAATTATTATAATTTTGGTTCAGAGAATTAAGTATTGGATCAACTAATTATCCCCAAATCGATATTTTTCTTTATCCTCATCACTTATCTGGTTGATATTGTATTGATATTGTAAGAAGAAAGTCTGTATTGGTCACTACTGGGAGTGAAAGGGTCAATTAGTCTATGAATTTTTCAATTGGAGACTACAGTGACTGAATGTTTATATATAAACATCAAGATCCTGATTCCAGAATTTATTTTCTATGTAAATACTAAAGTTGTATGTAGTGAGTTGATTTATCCTTATGTTCAACAATCAAGAGCTTCATTAGTTGGTGATCAATTCTCGTATTCTTGTTACCTTCATTTGTGATTCAGGGGCTATATAATGTAAGGAGAAATAGAATACAAGTTGCCCTTAGGGGTAAAAGGTTTAAATTAGTTAAGAAGAGAGAATATTACCTCAGGATCAACACTGAGAGAATTTAAGTCCATAGAAGCCATAGGAGGTGGTCTTGACAGATGAGAAGCAGATTCTGTTTTGTAAAATGTATAAATATTCAACATAAATAAAACATCAAGTATTGCTCTTAAACACTGTGATTGCTAGATAATGGTGAATTAAAACTAACATATCAAAATTGGATTGATTTAACAATGTTATTTATCAAGTGAAATTATACAACAGTAGACTTAATATTAAAAATAATGTACAGTACAACCCTATGTAACTTGAACTCCTAAAGGAAACTTAAAATGTTTTTAATTAGTCAGGGCTCAAGTTACCTGATAGTAAATGACTCAAAATAGAATCCTTTTTGAGTTACAAGGGGGGGGGGGGGGGGGGGGGGGTTCTACTGTATATCTTTTATTTTTTAGCATTTACAAAGTGTGAAGAGTACCATTGATGGCGTTTTCTCCTCCATGTGCATCTGACTTAGACTCGGATGTCTCTCTAAAATCAGTCACATTAGAACTGGAAGTTTCATTCTGAAGTGTAAAATAAAACAATATCAGTATAGGCTGAGGTAAATGGAACATGAAAAAACAAGCAAAACAAAACAAAAAATATCCCTGGGAAAAAAAAATGAAAATTGAAGTCCATAACTTCCTTTCATTTGAATGAAACTATGAAATCTTGAAATGAACTGATAAAATGAGACAAAAAAAAAACAAAATAATAACTTACACCTCAACATCAGTATGTATATTCTCTATACTATCCTCGATATATTTCCCAGGGTGCTGATAAGGAGAATTTGTCAAATAATCTGTTTAATTGTTTAATTAGTGATCATTTCCTTTATTCTCACGACCCAAATGTGTGATTCAGGGGTAATATCATGAGGAGAAATTATATGCATGTCACTCCAGGGACTAAAGGGTTAATTGTCATAACTATCTCTTTTTTTCTTTGTGCAGAGCACCAACACAGGATGAGTTTACTGTAATTAGCTTTAGAATATAAATGGATGAATCGAAAAAAAGGTAGTACTTACAACTTTCGAAACAGCATGACTAGCAAAGGCTGTTCCTGCAAGTTTATCAACCACATTTGAAGGCAATTTGAAGCATCGTTTGCTTGTTTTGTTCTCCTCATCCATAACCTTCTTTTCTGGATATTCTTTAGCACCTTTATCTTTGTAAGAATTCAGCAGAGCAGCTCTTAAACCATTGCTTGCCGTTCTGATGTTGAAGTTGTCTTTTTTAAGGGGGCTATTTCCACCTCTCCTTGCTTCGCGAAACTCATGCCAGTACTTCCAAACTGCATCTTGCCAATCGAGCTCGTAAATCCAGTTATAAGGATCGACAATTCGAGCGATTTTCCCTTCCTCGATTAAATGCAAGATCCAGCCGTATATTCCTTCGTCTAAGACCACCTTTGCATCAACTAAGGAGACAAAAAATCTTAACGCTAGATTTTGACTTTTCTCACGTCAAAAAAAAAGCTCTTGCCTTCCGAACAAATCAAAACAAACTCGAAGCATTTCATGAAGACCTCTACGTTCATTCTCGATTTTTATTTCTTCTCAAATCAAAATTGGTTCTTACCTTCCGAACTACTTGTAGGTTCAGTACTGTTAGATTCTGAAAAAGATATTCTGGAAGAAGAAGACGAAGGTGAGGACAAAGTATCAGTGAAAGGATACGAAAAATCTTTCTCCCCGCCTGTCGCCATCTTGTTTGACATGTCCAAGAGCGATTACCTCTGGGGAATCCCCGTCTGAAATCCCCGCAACCATGGCGATACCAACAATATAAAGATACGAGCTCTTGTTAACCGTTTTGTAACCATTCGTGCTCTGATGTGTTGATAATTGCAAAAAATCGTAACTTTCCTATCGAAGAGCAGGATTGTGAAAAAATTACGCTTTCCTTTTTTTTTTTTTTTTTTTTTTTTTTTAGTGTTTCTACGCTTTCGAACGCTCGTTCGTTGCTCCCTTCCCCTACCCTCCCCCCTGACAAGTAGAAACAAGGGGGAGGGAGGGTACGGCTATACGAAGGCTAGTCTCGCAATAGTTCTTCGAGTTTCTCTCGCAGTTTGTCGATGGTGTGAGGAAGAAATGATTGCTCAACTTTTTCACCGCAAGATCTCGTCAAGGGTTCTGTCTACTGTCTGCAACACAATTCTTACGATACGAATTTGGGGAATTTGGTACTGTATCAACTAATAATCCCCCCAATTATATTTTCTTTCATTCTCGTCACTTTTCTACTTGATATTGTATCTTTATATTGTAAAGAGAAATTCTGTCTTGGTCACTCATGAGAATCAAGGAGTTAAGGACACATTAGGATGACCCAGTTACAACACAAACCCAGACCTTGTCCATCCGTCAACCGCTGACCCCAGATATTGGTCACAAAAGATAATTCTTCTGACAAAAAGGAACAGTTTCTTACCAACAAAATCAAATCCTTTATTCTCACTTCTTGATCATTTGAACTTGTTAAATAAAGGTAACGAGAAAAAAGGGTTTTCTAATTGCAAATGCGTTGAGTTCTAAACAAGTTATGCAAATTACAACAGTTTTGTTTTAAAATAATGTTTTCTTTGGTGTAAAGACAAACTACAATAGTTTTTTTGAAAACTTGCCCTCCTTGTTACTGTTTTATACCTCCTTGCAGACGGTATTCTGGTAATTGTGTTTTTTTTTTTTTGGGGGGGGGGGGGGGGAATCATTATTTTTTTATTTGACAAACAGGGTAACACGCTTTAACTAGTGTCCATGCTTTCCGCTGAACCAGCATCTCTCTGGATGGAATCAAACATGGCGGACAGCTCAGGACTTGATTTGATCTGCGCTAGGAATTCGCTGAGCAAGGGACTTTTATCTAGAAGAAGAAGAAAAATAAAATTGATTTCTTGGCTTAGAAGGAAAAAAATGGATGTCAGCTCTAAGAAAATGAAGGAATGGCCAATCCTATCAACGTCTCTACAAACACTCCTTCCACATGAACAATCTAGCACTGACAAGTACCGCCCACCACAAAATTTTGCTAGCTTGTTTTACCTTGATTAGATAGTAATTTTCAATTAAATGTCGAGACTAATCCGGGATAGCATTGGTTTTGTTTCTCTTTGCGACGTCATTATCCAGAAAACTCACGCCACCCTCTCAACCAATCAGATGCAAAAAAGCTATGACGTACGACGACTTGGTGGCCCGCGTTTTCCCGCGCTTTAGGCGTTTCTTTGCTTTGAGTTCACGTTGGCTCTTCACGGTATCTCTCTTCTTCTGATTGGTCGTTGTGATTACCTTAGGTTTGGTTTCACGACACTCAATCGAAAAGTGCTCTACAGTTGATGGTGTGGTAGTCTACGCAACACTGGACCATAATCACCATTTAGTTGCTCGTTATTGAACAAGTCACGTACGACTCTGCGAGGAATACTAATTCTTTAGATAACACAGCGTTGCTTAATTCATGTTGTCGAATACTATTGCTGAGAATGCTTCCGCTGCATCTTCGGAAATCTTCGGGCGCGTTCGATTGAAAGAACTTCCAACTTTTTCGAATGTTATTACTTTGGATGCTTACAATGCTCTTTCGGAAACCTTCGTGCGCATTCCGAAATTCGAAAATAGCATAAAAAACAATGTGAAATCGGTGCTATTAGCTTTAATTCACATTTTTTTCTCTTTTTGCTGTAATCTACGTCGTTTTTTTTTTTTTATTTATAATTTTTTTTGTGTGTGTACTTAAAAATACTTACCACTATCTGGAATCGACAGCAGGGCAGCTACGGCTCTCAGCGCCGATCTCTTCAGCTCGTCTTGTTTTTCGAATTCTTGCTTCACGGAATTTGCCTTCACCTTCGTTTGCAACGTCGCACGTAACGGTTCCACGAGGATATCCACACCTAGGGTCAAAGAAAATAAAAATTAACAACGTATTCCGAGGAAACGCTCCCCTCCACTCGAACTGACAACATCGCACCCAATCACAATAATACGCGTATATTTGAGGACTATGAAAAAAAATCAATGAATTTAATGAACATAGTGTTGCTGTGCACTTAGACGACGTCAAAATGGGGTAAGAAAAAGAAAAAAAAAAACAGTGGCACAAGAGGCGCAGACGTCTTACATGAAAAAAAGCAAATTGTTCTTAATGGTGAGGTCATCAGTACAGCTGCCCTTCAATAGATTATAAGGACCAGTCAAAATGCCCGCGTAATTCAGTTTATCATATTAACCCTTTACACCCTAACATCAGTATGCATATTCTCCACACTGATCTTCATACATTTCCTAAGGACAAGGAGAATTTGTCAGCTAATCAAAAGGTTCCTTCCCTAGTGACCATTAACTTTATTCTCAAGACCTTCATTTGTGATTCAGGGTTGATATTGTAGGGAGAAATTAGATACTAATCACTCTTAGGGTTTAAAGGGTTAAAGAAAAGAAGAAAGAAAGAAGAGAAAACAAACGTAAAGTAATTTTCTAGTGAATACTCACGCTGTAATATAGCATTAGGACACAAAGAAGACAGTCGCACTAACATCAGGAACGTCAGCATCTGAATCAATAACACTGATTATTAGACTCTGACCAACGTGACAAGCAATGCATATTACTCCACAATTCCACAGCAAGAAAATTTAACATTCCACCCCTGATAAAATTTAGCAACGACGAAAAAAAGATCCTAAGATGTCCTATACTGACCACGTTGCACTTAGCTTTTCCGATCCAAAATCATTACGCATTTTCTCCATACTGTTCTCTATACATTTCCTATAGTGCTGACAAGGAGAATTTCTTTGACAATCAATAGCTTCTTCAGTTGGTGATCATTTCCTTTATTCTCGTGACCTTAAAGGTTTCATTCAGCGCTGATGTTATAGGAAGAAATAGGTAGGTGATAATCACTCTTAGGGGTCAAAGGGTCACGGGCTAAAGGTGATCGAAGGTTTCCTCATTCCCTTCTAAGCTTACCCAAGTCATTCCGTTTGGGTTCGACATAGAGTGGAAAAGTGACCGCTGTACAAACCTTGATATCATAGTGATCTTTAAGTCCGTCTTCTACATGGCTCAAGAACTCGAAGATGTCGAGGCGATCGAGACATGTGTCGAGAAGTGTATACATACATTCGAACGCTGCCTAAGATCACAACGAAGCGAATATCAAAATAAAAGCCACAACATTCGAACACAAACTCTTTCCATTTATTTATTTTCCTTTTCCACAATTAAAATACGGAGAAGTGCCAAAGCGGATACAGAGCATCTGCAGTGTAAAAGTGCGCCTTCCCGGAATATCATCATTGGCACAAGTAAGAGGGAAGATAAGTGAATGAAATTACTAAATTTTCCAAATGGTTCAAGTAATGACTAACTTTTACTTTCATCATTTGAAGTAAACAAACATCACCTTACGTAAATTCAATAAAGACAATAATTTATTTGACAAAACAGCTTAAAATGAGTTTTATCTTTGGTGTGAATGGAAAATAGGAAAGTAAAACTCAAATTAAACTTAACTGAGAGGCAAAATATGTCCCGCAGCAACAAAGCACTTTTCAAAGGCAAACACAGAAAATAAACAAATAAAGTAACAAAGAAGGGACAAACATAAAAAAGGTTTTATCTATTTGCCATCCTATCTAGATGGTAAAATTTAACTATATTCCTTTGGAACTGTAAGCGACAGGTGTTTCACTTGGATGCCTGCGGCACTATAGCGCAATAAACAATCACTTCAGGTCTACTTTACCAAATAAACACGAACAAAGAAACATTAGGTACCTTTCTGATGTCCAAGCCATCATCAACAGTGTGCTTAAACGGTCCCATCTCGACTTCGCGAATGAGTTCTTTCTAAAGGAAGAAGACAGTCATCACATTTACTATGTGTGAAAAGGCTTCGTCAAAAGTGGTTCTGTGCCCGCGGGAAAATATGACACCTTGAGGTGAGAGGTCTGGAATGAGTCTAGTACGCCAGACATCCGGTAGATCTCACCCCAACTCCTCTCAAATCTTCCCGCGGGTAGAGGAACACGCTTCCTGTTGGGAGAATAAAAGAGGACCTACTCGCAGCCTTCAAAGTTACAGGCAATCTACCCTGCTAAATAACGTCCAGCAAATTATTTTAAGTTTAAAACTGTTACTCAAGTTAGAAATACTCTTTACCGAAACCAAAATATCAAAGTTTAACCAACCCTGACTTTCGTCTCGTTGTACAGTCGAGGAAGAATTTGTTCCAACAAATCTCTGATGAGACTCGGTTTATTGTGAGCCGCTGAGTTGAATGTAACTAAAGCGACACGGCGGACATTCTGAGTAAAACAAACAAAACAGAGAAGATTCAAAGAAGATTCTCCACGCTGCAGGGTAAAACAAAGAGGTTTAAGCCCGGTGGAAAACCAAAATGAACAGGTAGAGCATACCAAATCAGGGTCCTGTACTGTTCGGAGAAAATCTCCAATGCATCCTCTTAGCTGGCTGTCAATCGGCTGAGGCTGAATAAACAGTGAAAGAAACCATGAGCGAGCTTTCGAGCCTAAATCGTATACGCAGTACAAGTAAACAAACCATGTTTTTTTATTCAGGACACCGAAGTAAAAATGAACTTTCCCAATCAACCTTGTTTCAAGGTTATATTTCACACAAATATAAAGGGATATCTTTTTTGAGTATGTTCTTTCAAGATATTCCCGGACATTTGTGGATAATTTAGCGGCGCAAATATAAAGGAATATCTTTTTTGAGTATGTTCTTTCAAGATATTCCCGGACATTTGTGGATAATTTAGCGGCGCAAATGTAAAGGGATATCTTTTTTGAGTATGTTCTTTCAAGATATTCCCGGACATTTGTGGATAAATTGGCGGTGCACAAGGGAAGAGTCAGGCTCGTTCATCGCACGCCAACCTGCTTCATCAAAGCAACAGGTGACGCCTTCAGCGCGTTTCGTACGCAGGCGAGATAATATGACGCTATCAGTAATTTCCTTACATGGTCCGAGATGGTAAATTTTACAGCTGTCACCACAGTACTCCGAGCAAAGGCTGAGTCTGAGTTCAGGTAGTCCTGCGGTATAAAGTAGAAAACTAGTTTGACAAAGGAAAAATAAGCACAGTCGCTTACAAGAGACGCTGTGTTAAAAAATACAGGCAACTTTAGTGGTGAACAACGATCATTAAAAAAAAAACTTTGAGACAAAAGAAATTCTACTTTGGTGCATTAGTGTTTTACCAATTATCCAGAGTTGAAACAGATCATTTAAAAAAAAATCCCTTTACGTTGGTTAAACGCCTATTTATTCATTTATTTCAATTTTTTTTATAAATTTCTTAAAGCTATTAATCCTTTCATTCCTATGGATTGACCCAAATGAGTTTCGCCAATATGAACAATAAATTTTCGCAGAGAACGCCACTGAGAAGAAGGACTAAAAAAAACAAGATTTTGTTCGATTTAATACTAAATTCTAAGATCCAACATTATACGAAATGCTCGGCAGACGGTGCAGAGTCGACACTTTGATCACGGAAGTAAAAATTTCAGCTTTCTATGAAAAGTATCCTTACAAGATATTGAGTCCGATGTGTATAATTCCTATATGTGGAGAATCGTTTTAGGTCTCTGACTGTATGTAGTCAGTTTGTTTGCTTTCATCGATGATTCTGGATGCGTAGACACCCTATTGCACTTATTTACATTGGGATGTATATTTAGTACAGTCACATACCTTAAGCTGTGGTAGAAGGTGCAATGGATCTACAAGAGTCAGTTTCCCCAGACATTCGGCGACAACGTTCCTCGTTCCTTCTTCCGTACTTTCACAATGACTGAATAACAAAGTCCTGCGGGAAGATAATCAACTGAATAATAACTGAAACTATGACTTCCACAGCACGGAAGGCACACCTTCATGACAACACACTTTATGCAAAATTTGCACAAAAGAGCGTCAAAAGGCTTACTGAGAAGTTGAAAAAGAGACTTCTACAGCACGGGAGGCACACCTTCATGACAATAAACTTATTTGCAAAATTTGCAGCAAAAGAGGGTTAAAACGCTTACTGAGAAGTTGAACAAGGACATGTTTATACATATATCCCATTTGATCACCATTCTTACCATATTGAGCTAATAAATGGTCTTAAAGCTTCAACTCCTGTTGGACTTCCTGCTTCACATGAGATCACCTAGTGGAAAATCACCATCAAAAACAAGTATTGGACATGTAAAGGAATAGCGAAGTTTACAAGAGCCGGAAAAGTCAGCTAACGAGCCCGCAGGCAAATCATGCAAGAGCTTTTACGGTTTTCGTCGCATGAAGCGACTAGGAGAATTGCATCTATCCTCTGGATGGGAAGCCAGTTCATGGCAGCGTTACCCCCAAGCCTCTAATAGAGTTTCTCTAACATTATGCCGGTACCCATCTATACTACTCAGCAGACTCAGATGTGCACTGTGAGAGTAAGGGCTGAGGTGTCACACTACATTAGTACCTAGCCCACCGCGTTTTCTCTCGTCTTTGTTTTTATCTTCCTTTATTTTTCTTGCACCTTTGTCCCGTGTCAGCTGCCTTTTGGCAAGAAAGAGCCTTCTTCACGTGTAAATTCTAGTACATACTTTTTTTGATAAATTTTCGTACCTCTTTAAGAGAATGAAGCAACAGATACTGTCTCTTGGGATTTGCTTGAATCTCCTTGAGCAGGAAAGGTAAATACAAGTTCAAATTTCCTGCAGCAATTTTACCTACACAGAAGAGACAACATCAGCAAAGTTAAAAGGGGACAGGCCACGATAGTTTTAACCCTTTAACTCCCAGATCAAATTTGTACTTCTCCTTACTG